GGGGCAGCCCGAGGCAGGGGGCGAGGGGCTGCGCGGGAAGGGCAGCCTCAGGCCCGGCCTGCGGGGGGCACCTCCCCGGGCCCGGAGTTCTCGGCAGAGGCAGCCTGGGAGGGGAGGCCGCGCAGTTGGCCGGCCCCGCCCCCAGCCTGCCTGACAGGTGCGGGTGGCGGGGAGGACAGTCAGCCCACGGCCCCCCTCCCTCGCAGCCCCTCCCCCTGACCGCGACCCCCTCGGCGGCCTCCTTCCGCCTGTCCCGAGCCCCGGCCCCTCTGAGCGGGCCCCTCAGCCAGCCTCCCCAAGGCGTCCTCCAGACGGAGAAACACCTGGGAGAAATTGAAATCTTAGCCTCTTCCCCTGCACCCCGCGGGGGCAGCAGACAGCAGTCCTGGCCGGGAGGCAGCTCCGGGGCCCTCCTGGGCCCTGCCGGAACCGGCATCTGGATCTGGGGACGGGAGCCAGGCAGGGGCACACTGCGGGCTCCTGGCTGGGTTTCTCTGTCCGCACCCCCTCCTCCATGGTCACCCTGGGCACACACGCTGGGGTCTCCAGATGCCCTCTTGGCCCCACAGTTACAAAGATGATCGCCTGGCAGGTCAGGAGTAAGTGGGCAGAGGAGGGGTGGGGGCTTCACAGAGGCAAGGGCTTCTCCCTGCAGCATGGGAAGGTTGAAAGAAAGGGGTCTGCTGCCCGGGTCCCCCTTCCCAAATCAGAGTAGAGCCAGGTGAGGACAGGACAGGCAGCCTGGCCCTCAGCTGCCCCCTCGCCCCGCCCGCCTCTGGCTGGGCCTCTCTCCGACCAGGGACCTTCTAGGGCTCCCCACGTCCCGTCCAGGACACCCTCCTCAGGCTCCGCTGAGAAGCCTCTGGACCTGCTCAGCTGGCTCCAGGCGAGGGCAGAACATGCACAGAGAGGGTCTGGGTGCCTGTCCTGGTCGCACCAAGCCCCACCCCAGCTGGAGGCCCGGGGTCACCGCAGACTGAGTCTCTGTCTGGCTGCACAAGAGTTAATCTCAGGGCACCCCCCCAACCACGTGTGCGCAAATTCCAGGAACGCTTTCCATTAAAGATGCTTGCTCAGAGCAGATTTCATTTACATTAATAAGAACCAGAAAAATCCAGGGGTGGGGGCAGCCCTGGTGTGCGGTTGCTGCTCACGTTTCGAATCTGAGTCTGGTATAGCCTGGGAGGGTGCCCGTCTGGGGTGCCTCATCTCAGAGAGGCCCAGCCAAGCCAGTGCCCGGGTCTAGCCCCCAGGGGGTCCACAGGTCCAGCCAGTCCTATGAGAGCCTGTCTGAGAGGAGGCAGCACCCCGCTGGTTCTGGGGACCCCCAGCCCAAGGCGGGTGGCAGAGGCAGCATGAGCCTGGGTCTCAGAGTCTCGGATGGGTGGGACACCCAGCACAGGAGGCCTGTGTTTCCACGAATGGTTGGTTGATGAGCCCTACCAGCCAGGATTTGCCGCTGTCCATTTCTGAGTCTCAGTTTACCGGTCTGAGAAGGCTACCCCCTCCCCTCCGTACCAGGTGTGGCTGCAGGTATCCAGAGGGAAGGCTCTGGGCTTTGAGCCATCTATTTCAGGGGCCCCCTGTCTTTGCTTCCCCTCCCCCTGCCGCTCTGCTCTTCGAACCTACAGCTGAGCAGTGGACCCTTCAGTCAGCTCAGCAGCCTGCTCAGGGTGGACACCCCCCCATGCACCTACCTGGGAGGGGACAGCACGGTGACCGCTTGTGTGCGTGCACAGGGGTGTGCCCGGCCTGTCAGCCCAAGCAGTGCCATCCCGCGGCTCGGGCTCCACCCCCTTCCCAGCTCCCGGCTGGCCGCCAGGGGCTTCCTTCCTTCAAGGGGAGCGAGTCTGGCTCCTGCCCTGCTGGCCCAGAGTGGGCTCCAAGCATGCGCCTGCGGCAATCCTGACCGCCGGGCCCACCCACGCTCGCACAAGTCGGGGGAGAGGTAGGCGTGAGCTCGCACACTTCATGTGTGTGGGGGCAGCAGGGCCAGGCTGGGGTCTGCAGGTGTCTGTGCGTCCCGCCCACCCCTCATCCAGGGTGCTGGAGCCTGCCTGAGGCGTCGGGGTGTGCCCAGTCTGTGCCTGCATGTGCATGCCCCCCCCCACAGGGTACCCCATGTGGCGGCAGTGGTGGGGCAGCCTTCCCAGCTGAGTAGCTGGGGAGAAGAGAGTGGGGGGAGAAGCCTCTGCCTGATGCCCTGGGATCGGGGCCCTGCCAGCTTCCAGGCCCCACAGATCTGGGATGAGCATCCTGGGCACCGAAGCTGACCCTGCCCAGTGGGCCAGACCCCATCTGTGCCCCTTCCTCAGGGCCCAAGCAAGGGGGAGAGTGGAGGACAATTACACCCATGAGCCATTGCCGGATGGCTCCTGTCCAGCTGGGCTTGGGGCAGGGTGCGGCCCGGAGCCAGTCCGGAGCTGGGAGCTGCGGCCGGGGAGCCCCAGGCTGGGGGCACTCAGTGGACAGAAGGCGTGGCTGCCACCTTGGGCCCCCCGCCGCCAGCCAGCTCGGTGGCTGTGCTCAGCCTTATCTGAGCCGCACTGGTCTCTTATCTTGGCCCACAGCCACAGACCTTCCTGCTCCTCCTCCAGGCATGCTTGGGGCTGGCTTTGTCCCCAGCGGCCTTTCCTGGCCTCTCCCTGCCTCCTCCCTCCCCAGGGAATATGGGGCTCTGTGAGGGGAGGTCGCTCCACTCCCGGCCCCAACCAGAGCCTGACCCTGTGCCGGCAGCTTAGGACCCCTCCCCACAGTCCCGTCCACCTGCCCAGGGCCCAGCCACGTGCAGGGGCCTGTGTCAGACCCACGCTCAGCACTTGCCAGCCTGGCAACCTCCAGCCGCTGCTCTGCTTGGAGCCTGTTTCTCCCCTTAACCAGGAAGGGAGAGGTGTGGGGAGGGGTGGGGATGGGTGTGTGGCGCCCTGGCTCATGCCTGCTGCTGGAAGGCACCGCTGCACCTCCCTCTGGACGCCCTGGGCAAGCTCGGCCCCGGCTCTCCCTGGCTGCACAGACAGGTCGTGTGGGCCCCGCCAAGTGTTCCTGAGAGCCGATCACCAGGCAGATGCATGAAGGGAGCGTGGGAGGCAGAAAGGCATTTTATCGGTCGCTGAGATTGTTCAGCTGGGTCGGAAAGCACTGCCTGCTCGAGCAGGAAGCACTTTCTGCCACTAGCCCTTGTGCCACACCCGGTGCCAACTTCCCTTTCAGCCAATGGGCATCTCTGGGCTAGGAGACCACGCAGGAACCTGCAGGGCCCACAAACGTCGTCTGCCCAGCTCCCCTGGCCAGATCTCCCTGAATCTCAGAGGACTGGAAGAAGCCCTGGGCCCTCAGCACCCCAGGACTCAGTGAGACACCCTCCTACCACCAGCACCATCTGAACTGGCCCCATGGGTGGTGGCATGCTGCCACCTGGTGGCCACCAAAGGCACAGCGCCCTCGATCTCCCTCACACACACCCCACCGGTCCTCGAGGGTATTCACTTGGGAATCAGGATGGCCGACGCCTGGGCTCCAGGTGCCCTAGAGCCCAGCCAGGCTGGGCATGCCTAGGAGCTTTAACTCGGGCCTGGCTGCTCATCTGGCCTTTGAAGGTTGTTTGATGCCCGGCCACAACAGCTCGGCAGGGTCAGCCTCAGAGCCTACACACTGCAGCAGCTGCCCCAGGCAAGGGCAGGCTGCACCTGGGGTCCCTGGAGGCTCCCTCTGGCTCAGCGAGAGACCCTTCCAAATTGCAACATGGGGTCTCCTGTTGGGAGGCTCAGGCTCGGCTGGGAGGACAGCAGCCCTGCAGGCAGGGCAGACGTCCTGGGAATGTGGCTGCCTGCACACCCGGGGACTCAGCCTGACGTCAGCACCACAGGGATTCCCCATCCCATCCCAATGCATGGCCTGTCGGACCTCAGGTTCAGGTGCGAGCTGGGGGCCACAGCACATTAGGTATGTTGCTGAAAGGCACGGCTGTGGAGCCGCTGGGAGAGGGGCTGACTCAGATCACTGACGATGGATGCCAGCATCTGCAGCAAAGCTGGCAGCAGTGCCAGGGTAGATGCTATGGTCCAGAGCAGACCGCATGGGAGCCCATCCTGGTGTGGCAGGTCCACATGGCTCCAGGAGGCTGGTAAGGGATGAGGGTCCCCTAGGGCTCCAGCCCACGTTCTGGGAAATCCTCGCCTGGCCAGAGGAGCCTTGCGGGCTGGCTGGCCATGCCTCTTGGGAGGCTGTGTCTCTGCCGCTTAGGTGCAGAGCCCCAGGGCTGATCCGGAAGATGCCAGGCTGTGGGCCAAGCTCCCAAACCTTATGCCATGAAAGCCCAACCTTGGGGCTCCTGCATCGGCCTCTGCTGTCTCCGTCACAGACAGGCTCAGACTCTGAAGGGACTGGACCCTTGGGGTCTCTGCTGGGGGCCCGTGAATGCTTTCAGAAAGGTCAGGCCTCCCTGAAAACAGGGAGATGTGCAGCCAGGGAGTCCTGGCTCTGGCAAGGAGCGTCTCCCCGACCCCCAGAGACGCCAGATGGGCTATCACCATTCGGTCCTGGGCGCCTTTGGATACAGGCATCCTTCCTACCCTCACCAGGCATGGATGGCCTTGCTGGTCAAAATGACATCAGAGTGGGCAATTGGGTGGCATCCCTGAGCACCTCTCCTCAGCGGCTGCCTCAGGCCCTCCAGCTCACCCACATCCAGGCAGGACCCCCCTGCACAGCAGGACCTGCCTTCACGGAGGACAGCCTGTGAGATGGGACACCCGCAGGGCCCCCACTCACCGTGGTCTTGAGCAACAGGAACGAAGGAGAAGAGCTGACTGGTTATTCCAGCAGGAGCCAAAAACATGTTAACTCCTGAACTTAAAAATCTCAGAACAGTGTCACTACAGGGGCAAGGGAGACGCATGTCCTCCTCCTCATCAGTCACTGTGAACACACCTGTGCCACCACAAGGCCTGACCGGTTCACACGGGCTCTACCACCCAGGCACCAAATAAAGACACAAAGACTTATTTTTCAAGGTATTTCTTTTGTAAAGGAGCCAGATTTGGCAACTAGACTGAAAATCTTCCAAAATTCTGTACAAACGTGTCATATACAAATATATACAAGGCAGTTGCCAAGAAAAGACAGCACAGCAACAAATGAGAGGCGACTCGGATGTAACAGGCTGGCTGGGGCACCCCCACAGCTGTAGGGATGCAAGGGCTGAGGAGCCATGACGTGGGCTACAATGTACACTCGCTGCGCTACACTATGTACACTGAGGATAACAGAGCCGCTGCCCCTCGGCCAGCCCGCGAGCCCTCCGACAGGCAGGCTGGCCACCCAGCACGCAGCCCGCACAAGGGCCTCCTTGCAGCATGAGGTGGTTCCCCTAAGACCTGGACCATAGCACAAGGTGCGTCCTGGAGGGGACAGGCAAGACAGCAGGTTGAGGCAGGGGCCCTGTGTCCTCAGAGCGCCCCCCACCCTGAGTCTCACTCCATCTCCGTGAACCGGGCAAACATGGCCTTCCGGACGGCGTCTTTGTAGGAGTCCGCACCCGACAGGCCGTAGGCACTGCCTTTGGCTCCCAGTCCAGCTCCTTTTAGCCGCACTTGGGCCTGGGGTACAAACCTTCTGTCAGCAGCTGCGGGGAGGGCATGGGCTGCCCCCACTCCCTTAGTCAGCCCCCGGAGGCAGAGGAAAGGAGGCTGTGTAGTGAAGACAAGGACTCCATACTGGAGCCCGGGAGGTTTACAGACCGAGGAGCGCAACGGGCTGAGGCAGCCAGGCGGAGGGGCCACGCCGCCCTCACAAAGGGCGGCGCTGAAGCCTGGGGAGAGCCCAGGCACCGCCACCGTCAGCAGAGGACAGCCTGTGGTCGGGAGACTCACTCACACGGGGCACACCTCGGCTGGGAGGGGCGGTAAGCGGCGCGGCTCCCGTCTGCAAGACCAGTGGGGGCCTGAGCTCCGACCAGCTCAAGGATTTCTCATGGGTGCAAATCCCACCCAATTTGTTTTATATGTGACCAAACGCACCCAAAAGGCGATCAAAGCCCAGTGCTTTCTGCAAGTCCAACCTAAGCCACATGAGTCTGAGGAGGATGAACAAAGGGTTTGCTTTATAGCGAAGGAGAGACACAGCCCTTAAGAAAGGTAAATTTTACCCAGATATTGGAAGACCAGAGAAAGCAAGCAGGACGCCATGCTGATCCCCCCCGGCTGACATCTGAGGAGGGTGGACCGGGTGGCTGCAGGGATGGGGTGGGGAGGGCTGTGCCCACGCTCACCTCAATGGGGGCCGTGATGCCCTGGCACTTGCGGCCCAGGCCCGAGCCTTCCCGCCAGCCCATGGCCTGCAGCATCTTGTTGCCAATGTTACTGTGGTCGATGCCATCCTTGGTGGGCTGCTCATAATTCCTGTCAGGAGCAAACACGCGGTCACATCAGACGGCCAGAGCCCAGTGAACGAAGTGGAAGATGAGCACAATACGTACACAGTGCCACCATCAAACTGCTTCTTGCGCTTGGGCTCTGGGGGCTCGGGGATGCCGTACTTCTCCCGCCGCTCTGCGGCCCGGTCCCGGTACTTCATCTGCGGGGAGAGCAACGACTGCTGGAGGTGCCCAGGCCTCTGTGACAGCCTATTGCACTGCCTGTGCTTCCCTGACATGCAGCGTGGCCCAAAACACCGCATGCCCTAGTCCCTGCGCTGCCCCGCCCCATCTCCAAAGACAGGTCTGCAGAGAGGGGCTGCGCAGAAGCTGGGGCCCACATGCGTCCATTATAACCACTTTTATTTAATCAGCTACCACTCATCAAGCTCTTCAGCCAGCCTACGGGGTGATGGTCCCACCTGCTAAAGTCCTCAAGGGAGCCTCAGCATGTGAGACAGGCCACGGAGGCTCCCAGGGACCCGTTCAGCTGTCCCTGGGCAGCTGGCACCGTGAAAGTGGAGGAAAACAGGAGAGAGAAGCTGAAGTCCTAGCTATGGACACCTCAGAATCATCTTGGGGTGAGAAATTCATGTAATGTGCCCACTGGCTTACTGCTTGCTAACCCATGGCCCCCCTGCTGGCATGTCAAACCCTGCATCAGCGGCCCCAGTGCCTGCCCACTCCTGGCCTTAAAGCCTCTCCTGTCTTTGCTCCAGGCTTGCCCTGCCCACAGCTTCCACCCACTCACACCTCACTGCCACCCAAGTGCTTGGCCAGCAAGTACTGGCGCTCAGACTGAGGAGCAGCCCCATGGAAGCGCTCCTGTCCGCCACTCCCGCGGACAGGCAGTGTGTGGGTCCCAAAGCATGCCGAGCCCAGATCCAGTCCATGAGCCAAAACGGCCGGGGGACAAGTGCACGACAAATCGACCCTGCCCCCAGGACTGGAACTATGTGCTGTGAATAAAAGCTGAAGGAAGACACCCCAAGATACTTTTTCTAGGGGCACACTCCCTCTTTCACCTCTCTCTCCCTCAGCTCCAAGGCTTCCAGCTCCTGCTCGCTCAGCCTGGACCGTCGGTAGATGTCCATGTTTTGCTAAACAAGAGATTTTACAAATGTTTAGATTCAGACCCCTAATCTGAAATGTCCTAACACTACTGACACCTATTGCGCTCTGAGAGTTGGAGCCCAGTTCAGTGCCACGGCATAAGGACAAGAGGCCTGGGGGGCGCCTGCCGGGTTCCTCCCTGCTCCGTGACCACGGACAACTTCTAAAGGCACTCACACCACCTCCCTGCCTCCCCTCCCTGCCTCAGACCAGCTCCAAGAAACTGGGCCACCTTGTGCAGGTCTGAGAGCTGCTGGTGCCTGACCAGGGCGTCTCTGTTTGGGAACTGCCGCCGGCAGAGCAGGCAGGCCATCTTCTTCCAGTCGGCCAGCTTCTCTTCCTCGCTCTCAAGTCTCTCCACCAGCTCCTCTTCGTTATCACTATCGCCACTGTAGGCAGCAACCAGGCCCCTCTGGGGACAGAAGGAGGCGTGTCATTGGAAACACACAGAAGAGAGTGATGGTGACGCATCTGGGTAACACACAACGCCAAGCCCAAGACGTGGGTGGACGCCCAGCGCTCTGCACTACGCTGCAGGGGGAACTGCACCTCATCCAGCTGTATGGGCCAGGCGGTCCTCAAGCACCAGCACTGACAGCCTGCAGCACCTAGCCTCCTGGGCCCAAGAAGAGTTCCTCGATGGCTGTTATCAGACTACTGACCACATATAAACACCCCAAACGCGACAGGTCAGAGTAACGGTCCATCCAGACCTGTCTCTATCTAAAGCATGTTTTTTCTTGTCTTAACTTTCTCTTTCAAGACTGTTCAAACTCTACAAATGCAGCAAAATGAAATTAACTTGAGCTTAAGAATTCAGGCCTCATTCATTGCTCCACCTCACCTGCTCTCACACAGGGATACAGAGCCTGTGGAACTGCCCCAGATATCCACCAAAAACACCGCATGCCCTAGTCCCTGCGCTGCCCCGCCCCATCTCCAAAGACAGGTCTGCAGAGAGGGGCTGCGCAGAAGCTGGGGCCCACATGCGTCCATTATAACCACTTTTATTTAATCAGCTACCACTCATCAAGCTCTTCAGCCAGCCTACGGGGTGATGGTCCCACCTGCTAAAGTCCTCAAGGGAGCCTCAGCATGTGAGACAGGCCACGGAGGCTCCCAGGGACCCGTTCAGCTGTCCCTGGGCAGCTGGCACCGTGAAAGTGGAGGAAAACAGGAGAGAGAAGCTGAAGTCCTAGCTATGGACACCTCAGAATCATCTTGGGGTGAGAAATTTCATGTAATGTGCCCACTGGCTTACTGCTTGCTAACCCATGGCCCCCCTGCTGGCATGTCAAACCCTGCGTCAGCGGCCCCAGTGCCTGCCCACTCCTGGCCTTAAAGCCTCTCCTGTCTTTGCTCCAGGCTTGCCCTGCCCACAGCTTCCACCCACTCACACCTCACTGCCACCCAAGTGCTTGGCCAGCAAGTACTGGCGCTCAGACTGAGGAGCAGCCCCATGGAAGCGCTCCTGTCCGCCACTCCCGCGGACAGGCAGTGTGTGGGTCCCAAAGCATGCCGAGCCCAGATCCAGTCCATGAGCCAAAACGGCCGGGGGACAAGTGCACGACAAATCGACCCTGCCCCCAGGACTGGAACTATGTGCTGTGAATAAAAGCTGAAGGAAGACACCCCAAGATACTTTTTCTAGGGGCACACTCCCTCTTTCACCTCTCTCTCCCTCAGCTCCAAGGCTTCCAGCTCCTGCTCGCTCAGCCTGGACCGTCGGTAGATGTCCATGTTTTGCTAAACAAGAGATTTTACAAATGTTTAGATTCAGACCCCTAATCTGAAATGTCCTAACACTACTGACACCTATTGCGCTCTGAGAGTTGGAGCCCAGTTCAGTGCCACGGCATAAGGACAAGAGGCCTGGGGGGCGCCTGCCGGGTTCCTCCCTGCTCCGTGACCACGGACAACTTCTAAAGGCACTCACACCACCTCCCTGCCTCCCCTCCCTGCCTCAGACCAGCTCCAAGAAACTGGGCCACCTTGTGCAGGTCTGAGAGCTGCTGGTGCCTGACCAGGGCGTCTCTGTTTGGGAACTGCCGCCGGCAGAGCAGGCAGGCCATCTTCTTCCAGTCGGCCAGCTTCTCTTCCTCGCTCTCAAGTCTCTCCACCAGCTCCTCTTCGTTATCACTATCGCCACTGTAGGCAGCAACCAGGCCCCTCTGGGGACAGAAGGAGGCGTGTCATTGGAAACACACAGAAGAGAGTGATGGTGACGCATCTGGGTAACACACAACGCCAAGCCCAAGACGTGGGTGGACGCCCAGCGCTCTGCACTACGCTGCAGGGGGAACTGCACCTCATCCAGCTGTATGGGCCAGGCGGTCCTCAAGCACCAGCACTGACAGCCTGCAGCACCTAGCCTCCTGGGCCCAAGAAGAGTTCCTCGATGGCTGTTATCAGACTACTGACCACATATAAACACCCCAAACGCGACAGGTCAGAGTAACGGTCCATCCAGACCTGTCTCTATCTAAAGCATGTTTTTTCTTGTCTTAACTTTCTCTTTCAAGACTGTTCAAACTCTACAAATGCAGCAAAATGAAATTAACTTGAGCTTAAGAATTCAGGCCTCATTCATTGCTCCACCTCACCTGCTCTCACACAGGGATACAGAGCCTGTGGAACTGCCCCAGATATCCACCAACAGGGACTGCAGCCCGTTTTACGTGGGAACCCCACGTGCCGGAATGTGGCTGAGATCCGGGGTGAGACACAAGCGGCAGGTCTGGCCTCAGACACTGTGCCCCTCTTACCTTGAGCGGATTCTCCTCGTCTCCATTTCGTGCCAGTTCTGGGATGAGCTGCTGCCTTTCGGCTAAGGTCCCCTGGGAAACAGAGCAAGTGTTAAGCCTCGGTTTTCCTTGGGTCCCAGAGGGAAGCAAGGCCTCTCCTGCTGGTGTTACCTTCTTCTCAAACAGAGCGAAGCCAGCGTCTGCCGCAGCAGATTCTCTCCTTTCTTCTTCTCTCAAGGAACTGACGGGCTGAAAACTGTTCTTAAAATTTTCTTTCTGCTTATTTAAACTCTTAGCCCAGCGTTCCATGTCTTTGGCGATCTAATATTAGACAACCACGATGGAAGAAAACATTCAGGCAGAGAGTCATTTAGAACACAGCCTGCAGGGCCCTGACAGGAGGCGCTGGGCTCGCCGCAAGCACAGACTCTCTAGCAAAGCCCTTGGCCCTCACTTCTACTGCAGACACTCTCACGAGATGCTACTGCACACAAGCAGAAGACAGCAAGTCCTGCTCGCAAGTGAGCCCCCCAGGGTCTCTCTCTCTAAGCCACAGGCAACCGTCAATGTACGGCAACACCGAAAACTGCAAAATGCTCTACAAACTTAAGATGGGCTCAGTTTTAAAGACTCCAAATAAACCTGGCATAAATGCCACAACCCCCAAACAGCCCCCAGACTAAGCTCAATACCAGCAAGCGGACCCCCTGGCCAGGCTACACCTCACCTGCTGGGCTGTCTTGCTCTTGGGTTTCTCCTTTCTCTCCTTCCCCTCCTTGGCAGGGGGCAGGCCGGCCTGCTGGTGGGAGCCCGCCTCTGCAGCCGGCACATAGGTCTCCTTCTCCCCATCCCAGTAAAGGTACTGCTGGGTCAAGGGGTTGTAGTAGTACTGGAAAACAACACCCTTAATGCCCACCTGCTGCCATGACAGGCCATCGCTTTCTGGAAGCACCTTGTCAAACACCACATGGGGACAGTTTTGCCCAAAATACTAAATATATGAACACAAAACATGCAGCAGACCAGTCCTATTCCTCCCAGAGAAGCGCCTAACTGGCCGGCAGTGACCCATGGCACTCTGTGGGCAGAGGTAGAATACGGCCTCTTCCTATGAGTCCGGTTTCCACTGATTTACTCCTGGGTCCTGTAGGGCACCCCAAGGGCCATGTGCCTCCCTCCTTTCCACAGGCAGTTTGCACAAACCAGATGGTTTGGGAGGAGCCTGTAATAGCATAGTCTGTGACACCCAGTGAACCGCTCCACACTAGGTCTGACTCACAGCCCCTTGGGGCACCCGGGCAGGGGGCTGCCACGCCAGCTGGGGAGCCCGGGAGGGGACACGTGAAGGCTCTGATCTCAAGTGTGTGGGAAGAGCTGTATGAGGACAGGCAGCGCCCCCTCTTCTGATCTCCAGCCACTCGGCCCTGCCGGCTCAGCAGGGACTGGGGAGGCCGTTAGGAGGGTCACAGATACAGAGGTCCCGACTTGGGGCCCCTGGGAAGTGCCCACAGAATGGTCAGACTTCATGAAGTGCAGAGGCCCAGAGCGGGGCTCAGGCTGCAGAGACAGGCTGCAGAGTTCACACCTCACTCCCAGAAACCAGAAGCTCTCACTGTCAACTTCCTGTTAAAAGTACTGGTGTCTTACTTTATGATTCAACAGATGCAGCTCCTGGTCATAAACAATTCTTTATTTATGGAGTGTTAAAGATTGTTTTTCCTCTTTAAAAGTTACATACAGCACCAAAAACTAAACATCGCCCCACAGATCTGCTCATTACCACTCTCAAGAATACACGGGGATGCTAAGTTCAAGAAGCTGGACCCGAGGGGTTCATGTATCTGACGGCTTTTGTGTGAAGAGTGTAGAAGCAGCAGACCCGCAGAAGCAGAAGGCAGTGGCTGCTTTTGGGTGGGGGGGGTGAGGGGGGGTGGGGGGGGAGGGTTGAGAACATTCTGGAATTAGTGGTGAATATATTAAAACTATTGAACTGTATGCTGTAAATGGTTAAATTGATTAATTTCTGAGAACTTCCATCTAGATCTTTACACAAAGGCTGCTGTCCCCTTAACTGTTAACGCCTCACGGTGGTCACTGAGGGGCAGCGTGGGGCCTGCAGACACAAAGGCACGGGCTCCCTCCTCTCAGCACTGGTACACATGCGGGCGTGAACACACGCAAAATGCCAACACACCACACATTTCAGCTGTGACCTTGTATGCACATCATACATCAAATCATTTTTTAAAACTTTATAAATTTAAATCCTAAAAAAAGGATTGTATCTTGGTAGTTTTAAAGCTGTCAGAACTAGTCTGGGCACATGCTCCTCTGCAGGGGCATTTCATGTCGTGCCTCAGAAAGTGTCTCCAGTGCAGCTGGGGGGTGAGGGTGTGCACTTACCTGCGAGTTGGGGTCGTAGTACAGCCCTGTGGTGGGATCGTAGTAGTACCCTGAAGACTCGTCATACTGGTACGTGGATGTGTCGGGCACCGCTGCAAAACCAAACCTGGCACGGGTCACTCCAGGCGAGAATGGTGGGCTGCAAACCCTGCGGCCCCGCAACCCAGCAGGCCCCCCGGGAGAGAGGAGCTGTACTGAACAAAGGTAACCGGGACCCTGGCGGTCACCAGCCCTGGGGGTTTGGCTTACCGTATTTGGTGCCAGGAACTACACCCACGGGGGCAGCGGCTGGGGGCTGTGCACTGGTGCTGGCGCTAGGCTGTGCTTCCTCGGTCTGGAAAGAACAGCAGCTTCGCTATAACATCAACGGGAAAGCCTCTAAGAGAACGCACTCACTGCCGTCGTAGTTGAAGGAGCCCGGCAGACACACCCGAGCAACAATCTCAGGCTGTCCCTGCGCACAACACATGCCCACAGTGTTCCTCCTGAAGGTCAAGCTGGATCATGCAGAGGACATACACACCCCCTGAAGGGAACCTCAGACCAACAGTCTCCCCACCAGTCACCAGTTCACACTAAGACAACAGGATTACCGGAGAGCTGGGCGCATTGGAAGCCTGATTGTACAGCTGGGGACTCTGGGACACTACAGCTGCTGAGGTCGTGGTCACCGCTGTGCCTGATGATAAACACAGGGGTTAGGAAGGGCCAAAGAACAGCTTTTTCAGTCAGGGCCCAACCCAGCCTTCAGCCTGTAAATGTCTGCTCTTAAAAACCTAATCTCCATCGAGTGCCCTCGAACTTATACCACTTCTATTTTAGGGTCTCTACGGGAGCACGACCCTCTGAGCTAAGCGTTCTGCATGACTAAGGGCAGGAAGAAGGGCTTCCCGTCTGCTCTGGGGTTGCGAAGCGCCTTGACTGGAGGCTTCTGTGATTCTGGAACCAAAATTCGGGTGAAGGAGTCTCACGATGAGCCTTCTGCCTGCTGTCTGGGAGCCACTCTCGGACTACACTTCTCTGCTCACCTGAACCTACGTGGGCACCTGTGATTCCTAAGGTCGAAGACAGGAAACGAAGACTTGAATTCCAAGAATGAACACTCATCACGACATGGCCTCAGAAAGACTGTGACTGGTTCTCACACACAAGGGCAATCCTTCCCCAGAACCTTAGGCGCAAGGTGACAACCCAGAATGTGGCCCACTCAACCCAGCCTTGCAGGGCCATGCGTTTAGCCAGAACATCTAGCTGATCTCGTCGGCAGGGCAGAGTGGAGAGGAGGGGCACTACCGGGTGCGGACGGTGGGTCGGATTCCAGTCCTCCTGCTGGTTGCTGGTAAAACTGCTGGTAATCCTGTGAGTACTGGAGAGAAGTCCACGGTTAAAGCTGCTCTTCTCAGACGACCCTGAGACCAGAGCTGGGTGTCAGGCAGCTCCACCTACCTGCGTGTACTGGGCATAGCCATCTTGGCCTGGCTGTAGGTAACTGTAGTCAACGCTGCCGCCTTCCCCACTCTGAGGCTACAAAGTGTCAAAAGAAGAGGAGACACAAACTTCATGGACACCCAGCGAAGCAGCTAGGACGTTATTTTCTAAAAACACCCGCGGAGAGCCTCCAGGGCGAGCACCATAGGAGAGTCTGGGGACACCACCATGCTACTCTGAGCAGAGAGACCCTCCACTTTACCTGGGTGGATGACCACTGGGCGGCAGCAATGGCTGTACTAGCCACAGAGAAGGCGCTGACCCGGTTACCATCTGGGAGGACCAAGTCTCTGAAACCACAGATCCAATCATGTGACTCCATGCCTGCAAACTCCCCAGCACCCCCATGCTGCCAAGGAAGCCGCAATCTGCTCCACCTTTGCTGGGAGCTCTCGAATGCCAGCAAGGCCACCTTTCAGAGTGGGGAAGGCTCTCCAGACAAGTCCCTCAGGGGGCAAACACTATCACCAAAACTGCAGTGTCACTGTTCTACTCTGCACCCTGCCACTCAGTAACACATCTGCCAGGTGAGCGTGATATAAAAATGCGAAGTTTTCTTTGTGTCTCTAGATGGACGCTCTGTGCACACACTGCTACCCAGATGTTCTGAGGGGAGGGTCACTTCCAGATGGGCCTGCACAGCACCTGTTCTGCCTTGTCTGCCTCTGTCCTGCTCTCAAGTCTTGTGGCACCTGGGTACTGAGGGCAGGAGGGAACAGGGCCTGGGAAGCCGGGAGGGGAGACCTTGGAGAGAACATGGCCAAGGGTGTGGCCAGCACAGCACCTCTGGACAAGGGTGCAGATGCAGAATTTGAAATAAGGACATAAAGTCACTCACTTTCTGGCACTTTTGGCAAAATCCACCCCAATAGTTTTGCCATCGATTTTCAGAGGAGGATGGAGACTCTGCAGTATCTGAAGCAGCTGAGAGGCGTCCTGAAGGAGAGTGTGGGGAACAGTGATGTGGTCACCTGATTAAAATCTCTCCTACTGATCTATCCCTCACCCCCATTCAAAGTAATCCAGCTTCCTATTAAAAAGAACAGCAATTAATTATTGTTTGTGGTTCTGAACCCTTGAGGGGAAAAAAATACCCTCTTGTCCTCCAGGACATGACGGTTTTCCCTACTATTAAAGGAGTAAATGCTAAGTCAGCCTACAACAAAGGACAAAGGAAGGACGAGGCTGACTCAAGGTATACGCGTCACCTGTGTCACTCAGGAGTGACCGTCCTCACGCAGCCCTGAACTCTGGGCCCCAGGAGCCTATACACAGGATCACCACTGCTAGATGGACCACCGCCCTTGGGCTCAGTGTGTTTTAAAGGGAAAGACGCAAAGAGCACCTCACCATTGCGGAGGACAGCTGCACAAACGCGAAGCCTCTGTTCTGCTGCGTCTGCTTGTCTTTTATGAGCCGAATGTTGTTGACGGCCAAGGATGCATAGGGAGACAGTGCTGTCATGATGGAGTCCACCACTGTGTGGGGGGCTATGTTCCGAAGTATGATCGCTGGGGGTAAGTGAGAAAAACGACATATATACGTGCTTCCACCACCAATGCTTTTCAAGGCAGGTTTCAGTACAAACAAACAAAAAGATCCATTTCAGGCAGCTCCTAGTACGTCTTGCACTTTGACAAGAATATTCTAAAAACCAGTCCTTTATGGGACAAACTGAAGCTGCTGCTCATTGTAAAAGGTAAGTGAACAGACTTGCGCCTGCAGCCAGCTCCTAATGTGAGGGCCGAGGCTGAGGCGCGCACTTACTGTCACAGTAGTAATCCACAGACTGCACCGATTCCGTGGTCCCGGGGGGCACTTCCTGTTCAGAGTCTACGAGGAGGGAAGGGGAGGAGTGGCTCAGCAACTGAGGACGAGCGAACAACCAACCGAGGTGTTCTAGCGACGGGATGCGCTCAGACCCCAAGGCTTAAAGCAGACAGGGCCGTCGTTGGCTCCCTCGGTAGCAGGTTGTGGCTCTAGGGCACCCGCAGTGATGCTGGCATAAAAAACGTGGACTGCAACACAGTGGACATATGTGGCCCAGTGGAGGGCTGACATTACCTTGGGGCTAAGCAACAGCCAGTGTGGGATACAAACCAGGCAGGCAGACTTAACTGGGAAGTAAAGGGAGTCTGCTCTCACCATCACCAGCAGCACCACACTTAGGGTAGGATGGGTCAAGGGAAACACACAAGGTACTGGTTCAAAGGCCCTACAGTCTACACTTTGCCTCAGGCTCACAGATGACCCAATCAGTCAGGTTCCAATGCAGGTATTCCAAACAGCTGAATCTGGGCTTACCAAACTTGTCCGCTCCACATCGGAAGCATTTTAGTCTTTTCCTGAAATTGTTAAGGCAGCACTGGAGAAAAAAAAAGTTTTATCTGTAATCATTTCTGACAGTAGGCCAGGCTTACTAGTAACAACGTGGGCTAGAGCAACAGGACCACGGGCAAGTCCCAGGAAGCAACATGACAAAGCAGGAAGTGGCATCCAAGGCTCGGCTGCACTACCCAACCAGCGCAGAATGTTTTGCCAGGTGAACGCCTTTAAGAAAACAGATCTTGACATATTCTGAAGTAGGATTCCATTTTGATCAAGTTGGGGAAGTTTCTGTTCACCCAAAACCCTACAGCTATCCACAGGCACAGCTCTTCCCAACAGCAGAAGAGCACCACAGGGACCACTCTGTATGGACACACAGTGGGCAGGGCCCACTGCCTGGTTCCTATGGGCCACGGGACACCTGCAGAATGGAGACTCCGAGTACTCTCAGTGTCCATGGCAACAGCCAAGTTCAAAATGGTACACTGGCGACAGGACCGTATGGGGCCTTAGATAACCTAGCAGAGTCACAATGATTCTGTTGATATAATTAATAGATGACGCCAGAAGTGGAAAGCTCTAGAATTCAAGAAACAAACTGAAACAAACCTAAAACTTTGATTAAAACAGTGGGCTTAGAACCTGGGTCTTAACAAAATCTCTGGTGTTCTAAAAACTCTGTCCTCTAATACCCGCCTACAGAGGAGGACCCGAGGAAAGGCACACAGCACAAAAGTCACCTTACGATAAAAGCTCGTCATTGTTTACTTCCTCGTTGCCCTGTTCGGACAGACAAAACAAAAACACAACCACACACTTACCTTGTTACAAAGCCAGTCTTCAAATTTAGGTCTGGGGTTGCTATAATGCATTGCAATGTGCTTTCCTTGAATGACCAACTTTTTCTGTAAAAAAAAAAAAAGAGTAATTAGTTATTCCCATTGTGAGGAGCACGTGTCCATTTTCCCAGGGCAGAGCACACTTCGGAAAAATCAGTGCTCTGGAATTAAATGGACAACATACGGGGAGGACCAACCACCGCCACCTACGCTCTGCCCATCCAATCCTTCAGACAGGCAGTAAGAGAATGGGGTGCGGAGTAAAGGCGAACGGAGTCAGGGAGCGCTGAGAAAGCTGCCACACGCTAAACGCTGACATGCACCAGGCCCAGGCCATGTCTCCAGCAGAGACGAAGTCCTACTATTCAGCACTGACAGGCTGCCTGAGTGACAGTGTACGTCCAAAAGCAGAAGACACAACTCTCCCAGGTCCAAGACTGCCTCCTATTTCAGCTTTAGTATTGTGTCCTGGGGCTTCGCCTCGGATTTCCCCAGTGCCCCATCCTTAGGCAAAGTAAAAGCCTTTCTAGTTCCCCTTCTCCCAGACTTCTGCTTCAGGACGTGTCCTTTGGGGGACGAGGGGAGGGGAACTCATTTTTAAAGGGAATCTGGTCACAACTCTTCCTCAGAAGGGACTATTGTGAACGCCACCAACTCTAAAAAAGCTAAGTGAGATTCCTTCCTGCCAACTGCAGCCATGTCATGTCCTAGGTGACAGATGTGTTGTTCACTGAAATAAATGGTACTCTCTTCAGGATGAGTAATCAGGAGGCCAGTGAAGTTTCTTCAGGGGGGTCAGAAAAATCTGTAAATGCATACACCACCTCATCCTTCAAGTCAACCGTGTGACTGAAAGGGACTTTAACAGGTCAGAATTCCGAGCTGAATCAGTCTAGCCAGGAGTACAGCCACACCTGCCCCCAAAGAGCCTTCATTTAACAGGAGCACATTTTCTTTTTCCTTTTTTGGGGGGAGGGGGAAGGAGAGGGGATGTTCAGACACTAGCACAACAGATTTAAGGAGGAGGTCAGCTATCCAGATTTTTAAAAGAGCTCTAAACCCTCTAAACATACATACTGTTGAGTAATTTGGTTCTTGCAAATCCTGGAAGAGTTAAGACATGCAGTGAATGTTGTCTTTGTGACATCTAAAGGCAAGACTGCACATCAGGCCAAGAGGGAAAGAGCTGACGGGCCTTCCACTCACTGAGAAGCAAAAATGAAGAAGCCGGGAGGTATGTCAACAGATCATCCCACTCGGAGGGATGTGTGCTAGGGGAGACTCCGAACTATCACTGAGTTCCTAATCCTATTGGCCTTTTATTTCTGGAGTGAATTTGAACTGTAATGAAATATTACACATTGACATAGCTTTGTATACATTAAAATTGTGGAGATTTATAAAT